GCAATCTCCCTGTCCCCAAATAGCCTCTTGCTACATTAATTGCATCATTGATGCATTACAAAAATTAAGTGGCCTTTTTATTCTAAGGCAACCGTTTGAAGGAGAAAACATTTAAGACCAGCCTTTGTGACTGTAACATATCGCTCCTTCTATTTTCCTTTACATTTGTGGTCTCTATGAGCGATGAGGGGTATATCTAGTTTGTTTGTAAAGAGTTATGCTCTGTATTTTTATTGCTTTGCCCCTAAAGGTTTTAACAGAACAAGGCTAGTTCAACTCTAATGGAATCAATCCTCCTTTTGGTTATCTCTGAAACTTTGGTAGGCTTTGGACAAAGGAATAGTTTAAAAGTTGTGAGTTTGACTTCTTGATTGAAAGAAAAAAAAATTCACGTGGTAACACCAATTCCACAAAGAGTTAATAAACAGCCACTGAATTAATTTGCCCAGTACAGCTAACAGCTGCAGCCAGAGCCCAGGCTCTTAAAGCAAAGAGACAAATGAATTTGACGGGGCTCTGTGCACCTGCACATCTTCCCGACCTGCTGGAGAGCGGCAACCAGGGGGTCTGTGACACTTGACCCCAGCCTACTAACCCCACGGGCATCTGCCTTGGGGGATCAGGCTGCAGTGATGTGGGAAATACCCACCTCGTGTGCGGATTGCATATTTGCCTGCTGCAGTCAGACCAGGGACAGTGCCTGGTGTGAGTGATCCCCGACAGGCAGAACAGAGTCAGGACGACTGAGGTCATGAAGGTTGGGGAGTCCCGGCCCGCCCGTGAAGAGGCCTAGGGGTCACTGACCTGGAAGATGAGCACTTTGAAATGGTTGCGCCGGAGGAGCTGGGCGTGGTTGTTCTCCAGCCGCTTGACCTGCGCGCACTGCCGGTCCATGCGCTCCTTGACCGCACGCGTGTGGGCGCTGACCTTGCGGGACTTCTCCAGCAGCTTGCTCACCGTGTTGCTGGTGGAGGCCTGGTACTTGGAGAGCTTGGTGAGGTCGTTCTGGATGCCCTTCACGGAGCCCTCCAGACTGATCTGCCGCTGCTCCATCTTGTGCTGGTTCTCCTGCACCGCGTCCAGCATGTTCACCAGCTTGTCCAGGAGCGTGAGCACCGTGACGGCGTTCACCTGCGAGTTGTCCCGGATGGCTTCCTCCGGGTTCCCTAGGTTCAGGCTGGGGCTCGGCGTGGAGGAGGGCATGGGGCTGGGGCTCCCTGGCTTCTCCTGCCGCATGTCAGGGCCTGGGTGTTGGAACTTTTCGGCCTGCGCTGCGTCCTCTCCCATGGCTGGGCAAGTGGGAACCCTCTTCCCTGCTGGGAGCTGCTGCTTCTCACTCTGGCGAGAAGGGCGGTGTTGAGAAGCAGAGGGAAGCCCACTGGTATGAGCTCAAAGCACCGCTCTTCAGGACGGGCAGAGGTTCAGACAGGCAACAACTGGCTAGGCTGATCAGGGGAACTGCATTCCAGCTGCTCTTAAAGGCCCTACTCCACCCAGTGGGAGGAGAAGGTTACAGAACTGAGAGCCACTCAGGGTTCAGAAGCGTGCACACACTTCCTAAGCCCCGCTGCTCTGCACAGGGCACTTTGCCGCAGGTTTAGCTTTTCTTTCGTCCTCTCCTTCCCTTTTAGAAACAAGTTCAATGTCATATTTCAATCGTGACTTCATCTGAGGTGGAGAAAAAACTTGCAAACTTGGCCCAGCTCCACAGCTTCCAATTGGCCAAAGCCAGTAAACTTTTTTCTGGCTGCTATGTTACAGATGCAACAGCGAGCCTGTTTTTTTTCCTGGATACAAGTTATTGTAACGGAAAGTATTGTTTGCTTTTGCCCTAGAACTGACTGATAGGCTGCAGAGCACCCAGTGTCCACTGAGAGAACAGAGTTTAGAGGGCACACGCAGCCAAGTTCGTGCTGTTAGTTCTCATTTGCCAAGGAATGGAAGTAACCTTTATGACAAGGAAAGCAGCCCCGTGCTGACTGCTTTTGCACTGGGGATACTTAAGACTTTGAAAGAGACTGAACTTCAGTCTAACAAACAAGCAACGGTGTAGGTATGGACTGTTACTGGGTAATAGATGGTAACTTTGTGAATGACCCCCTTAAAAAAATAAGTTTTTTTTAGAAGATTTAAAAATAAGAGTGTGCTATCCTTAAGAACCAATCATGCTAATTGGTTTTAACTATTTTTTTAAATCTGTGCTGAGAGATTTTCTCAAATACCCGTCTCTGGATGGCATTTATTGACAGGAGTCCAGAAGTGTGCCTGTCGACAGGTTGAGCTGGAGTTTCTGAAGTGGTTCTGATGCTTGACATTTACAAATTCCTGCTCAGTGGAGTGGCACACCTGTTCTCAAGCATGGCTCTCCTCATCTGAGCCCTTGAGATGTGGGGCTTATTTCCTAAAACGACTTTACATGCTTGAATTGGTTTTAAATGTATCCAGCCTTTGAAAGTGATTTCAGCAGGAAGTTTGTAATAGGCCTTCTATGAACAGCTTTGAGGGGAACAAATGCCAGCTCACGTTGGGTCAGGGATTGAATAATACAACAGTGCCGATCTTCAACAGCAACATCTGCATGTAAGCCGGGCAATCAGCCGGCCGTTGGCGTCACGTATATTGAATCCCTGTCCTCTGCTATGTGTTTGCCAGCTAGCCAGAGGGTACTGGCAAAGCGTGATTCCAGACCCTGCCCTCAGTGAGTACACCTGCTAGTTAGAAACACTAAAGATGTTTTTACAAAAGCCTCCCATTTCCTCAGATGATCGGTACCCCACAAACTCACTTCAGGGGAATCCTTCAAAATTAGAGACTAAAGGGAAAAACAGGGAAAGGAATTTGTAGCAGCTTCACTTGTAAATAATTATTAACATTAAGATACCTTACACTTAAACATTTTTTGTTGGTTAGAATGTGTTAGATCAAGTGTTGACTTTGAGAAGCATAATATTCTAACAAAATTCTACAGTATCATGTGACAATGTCCTTTTACATTTGACTTCTGTGGGCAAATCATAAAGAGTGTCATTATTTCAAATATATTTAAGGGCTTCATCAATTTTCCAAGAGCCTCTCCTAAATTTTGACATTCAAATCATTCCTTTCTGAAGCACTTATTGTACCATTATCCATGTGGGTTTTTACTCCTTCAAATGTTAACTATTCCAGCTGCAGATTCTCATTTGTCAGAGGAGTTACCCATGATGCAAGGCCTCCGCTAGCATTACCTTCATCAACTTCATGATTTCCTACATATTTTGCAAGATGTGCAATTTCCAGTTATAATCACTTCTCCCTGATTTTGCATTGATTTGAGCTGATTTTGCTTCGCATTGTTGGGCATTGTATAATCAGCTAGATGAATAGAGACGTTAGAGAGATGGGGTGTGAGGTGGGAAAAGGAGAGAGGCTAAGTTGTTAAACAGGAAGAAAGCTCTGCATGTCGGCTTATTTATTTTCGAAAATCTATTTTGAGTAATACAGGTAATATAATAAGTACTTTCTCTATTGCTGTGTAACACATAAGCACAGAACTCAGTGGCTTAAAATAATAATCGTTTTATTTACTCATGATTCTGTAGTTGGCTAGGCAAGGCCCTGCTGAACTGGGTCACCTCTGCTGGACATTCAGCTATAGTGTGGGCTGAGGATGCTGGGATGGCTCCATTCACAGGTCTGGCTCCTCAGCTGGGACATCTGCAGGTTATCCAAAAAGTTCCCCCTAAAGTCTCCATATATAAGGAAAATGGGAAATTGTAGCTAAATGTCCCTTTACTTATAAATACTCATTACAAAATTTAAAAAATATTTACAAAATATTCTTCACAGGTAGGCCACCTCTTTGTAAAATTTTGTAATGAATATTTTTTTAAATGAAGGTACATTTAGCTACAATTTCCAATTTTCCCCATGTACGGTGACTTCAGGGGTGACTTTTAGGACACCCTGTGGTATGCTGGGGGTTCTTTCTTCTCAATCTTTCAGCCTCCAGGGACTTATCTGATCTCTCTAGGAGGGAAGTCAAACTTCTTTACCAGATGCCTCAGGGTTCCAAGAGTAGAAGCAAATCACAGGGTCTCTAAAGGCAGGGTCTGGAACAATCTTGTCACATTCACCATATTTTAGCATCCAAGGAATCCAGGTGAGGAAAAAAGCGTTCTTTTTCTGTAGTAATATAGTGTTTCTAACATAGTGGTAGAGTTTTAGTGAGGCACATGTGCACTCAACTAAGGACTACACACACAGCCCTTCTTTGAGCTAAGTGTGCTAAGTGTGGACATGTTACAAAGTTCTGTTCACTGGCTGTGAGAAGTGGTGTAGGCCTTTTCCAAGTGCCGTCTTACAAAGGAAGACATGTGTGGTCTACTGACCATCTTTCCCCCACATTTCTTTCGGGAGATGGCAAAAGCTGACTTTTGACACAGGAATGGAACCAGGGACTTGAAGATTCAGAATGGCGGCTATTTCTGCCACTTCACTCTTGTCCTCTCATCTCTCCATCTGACCCCTCCCACCTGCAGCTCTCTCATTGTTGGTGGTAAACAGAATGACAGGTGAGCATATGGAATCTTCAGCTGGACCTCCAAGATTCTAATTCCACCAAAGTAGTGTGACCTTGGATAAATTGCTTTTCCGTTCTAAGTCCCATGTTCTTATTGTAACATAAGGGTAGTAGTTATTATTATTATGAGTTTTAATGAAAATTAAGTGAGTTAATATTTGTGAAATGTTTAGACCAGTGCAGTGCCCGGAACATGGTAAGCAGCATATGTGTTAAATACACGAATACCTATCTGGTTCAGCCTCTTGGCTTTGAAGATGAGATTTTGTTTTTTCCAAAAAGATGTTCAGATCCTGTGCTAAGCGTGCAATATTCAAGACTAGTACCTCTTTTGCTGTTCCTTTCTGCCTTGCTCATTCACAGAGTACTATGCGGCAAACCTTGGGGGAAATACATAGGGGTCTTTGGCTTTACTACAGATGAATTCATTAACTGCTGTAAATGGGCTGCTACATGGCCAGCAGACACTTAGATTTTAGACAATATGAAAGAGATATAAATAAAGGTCTTCATCCTGAAGAAGTTCAGAGTCCTACGGGAAAAGCAAGATTTACGTACAAGAAGCAATTAGAAGACAATACAAGGTAATACCTAATGAATTGTCCAAATTGCCCGTGTTCAGTCTCAGGAAACCCCTGACATCACAATAAGAACCCTGAGCTTTTGCTTTTCTCATTTCATGGGCATAAAGCAAACAGGAACTGAGGCAAAGAGCTTTAAATTAAAAATAGGGTGATCTGGCACTAATGCTTTCCTTAGAATGCAGTGCTTTTCATGTCTATTATCTCCAGATATGGTAAGACATTGAAAAACAATAGTTGAAAAAAAAAAAAGAAAAAGAGAAAAACAGTATTTGAAGGAAGTGGGCAGGTGTCCACTGTTTTTTCTGTGACCAAACTGATGCTTGGGGAAGTCTGAGGCTCTGGAGCTAACAGTAGGATGAGCAGTTGAATATGGTATGTTCTTCCTTCTCCAGCTAGAGAGAGCCTTTCCACTGCCCTCTGGAAACTCTCTCTCTCCAATAGAGAGGGTTTGTTTATCAAATCTTAAATTTTTCTCATGAAAGAGATTCTAGAGATACCTTTGGTCACATGTTCCAGAGTTCAATAAGCCTTATTTTGAGATGGTTAATTTTGAGTCTTTTTGTGAAATTTGTTCCTTGAGGTATCTTGATGAATGGACGTCTTAAAATCATACAATTTTGTATGCTATTTAAAACAATCGGCAAAAAAACAAATGAAAATCAAGGACAATAAAAAAAACCTTCCTACCCTGTCTGAAACGGAAGTTATATTAATTTGAAAGCTTTGAGAAGGAAATTCCAAGACCATTTTGGTAACCAAGCCTGGTATTTGTCAGGAAGTTCTTCTTCATAGATAATTTAAATCCTTATCATAGCAATATAAAGCCATTTCCTCTCATTCTGCTCTGTTTTTTGAGTTAATGAACATTCACATAATGGATTTCTATGAATTACCTATTAATCATCTTTCTGTAATTTTTACACATTCGTATTAAAATGTAGGATTCCTGAGGCTGTATGTGTATAAAAGCTACTGCCGTAAATACTTTTTATCAAAAATATTTTGGCAATGCTACATGTCTCAGCAATAAAATATTTTCGTAGGTGAATAATGGTGCGAGCAAGCAGCATTTGCCTGATGGTTTACACTTAGAAAGTGCTTGAACTATCTTGAATTATCTCTGAATGCTAAAAATGTGTGATTCTAAATTCCTCTCCCTCTGGGCTCACATTTGCTGGCTTCAAAGAACTGTTGTCTTAGTAGAAGCTATGGCTCTATTCCAATTGCAAAAATAAATAAATATTGAGCGAGCCAAAAATCCAGGTAACAAGCAGAGGTGACAAGAGCGGAGGGAACACAGGCTGGCTGTCCTCGTGTACCTGAGCGCTTTATTAAAACATATTTTGGGTATCTCTTTCTAAATCAGTTTGGGGCTGTTGCATAGGCACAGCCATCATATCAGTTTGATGAATAGCAAACATGATAGAACCTATTAATAAGGCAAAGAGAACGTAATGTCTTTAGGGGGGT